CACAGGTAATTAAGCAACTAGCTGCAGGTGTGCAGGGAGGCCCAATGAGGAAGGGAGGTAGAGGGGTGGTGCCGTCATGCTGTGGGATTGATTCTGCCATTCCTAGAGGCAAGATTTGTGTTTGAGGTGCTGGATGTGGTCCATGAACACTGCAAAAACGATCTACTAATAAGTAGAAATTTCTTAAATTAAGTGTATTTAGCCTTTATTTCAGTAGGTAAACAAGATGATCTGCCAATGGAATGAGTATTTTTACCTTTAAAATAAGCTAATTGAATAATATGCACTCGAAAAATAAGAAAATGCGATTTTTTTCTCATTTTAAATGTAAATTGTCTTGTTCCATTGGCAAAGTATCTCACTTACCTCCTCAATTTAAGAACAAATGCACTTAATTTAAGAAAAAAGAACTTATTTAGATTAGATTTTTTGCAGTGAAGACTCAAAGTTTCCAACTAACCCGCAGAACATGACGGGTGTGATTTTTTTTATAAGATCAGATCAAACTTCTATGTTTCGTTTCTGTGTATGAGTGTCTAATCTGGCAGAAAGTAAGATTTAAAGGTCTAGTCAAAGTCATTTAATAAGAAGAAACTTTATTGTCGCTGTACTTATATCGTTTGACAGCATCACAAGTTAGAAGATATGGGAAATTAAAAAGTTATAAGGAAGAGAGAGCAGTGAGCCAGAGTCACTCCTCTGGTCCTCCTCCTCCTCCTCCTCCTCCTCCTCCTCCTGGGCTGGAGGAGGAGGAGGAGAAAGAGGGATGCAGGAAAGCACACCTTACCTCCCTCCCTTTCTTCATCCCTCTCTCTATCCCTCCTCACTCCACACTGACAGCAGCTCTCATCCCCACAGCCCAGCGCTGCTGAAGCATTCAGACTCACACACAGACTCTGAGTGGCATCTCCAGCTCTCTCCAGGAAGCCCTTGGACTGCTGCAGGCGAGGTGAGTAAATATTTGGAAACTCCTCTGCTGCTGTGGAGTTGGTGTGATTTCTGCTCTCTGGATGCCTGCATGTGCTGTTGTGGTTTCCCCTCTGCTCTCAGTGTGTGTGTGTGGGTGTGTTTACGAGGCCTACAGGAGCCAATGAGACGCGTGTTTTGCACCAGACCAAAACAAATCCAGAAAATAATGCTGACTCGCTCCCAGAGGAGTACGTGTTTCTGTGCAGGCATGCGTGTGCATGTGTATTCCTGGAGAGGCCCGGAGTCTGACTGGAAACTTGTCAGCTGTTGGGAGATGGCTGAGTGTAAACTGGTGAGGTAGACACTCTCTGCAGGCCAAGCGGTGGAGTTAAAGGGATACAAATCTTATTGTTCAACATTTTCAAACATTTTCTACTTGGTGCAGAAAAGTAAAATTCAGCTTGAAAAGGATCCAAGTCAGGAAACACTGAGTGGCTCCTCTAAAAGATATAAAGATGTTAAACAGGCATCATGTTGAGTTTGTTTATGCTGGGATGTTTATGAGCAGACA